AAACTGAATAAAGTGTATGTTATGTCCTGCAAACAGTTTGTGTGAGTCAGGAGTGTTTGACGCGCCATGCGTTGCAGGGGCCTGCCATAGCTATGAGCAACTGCATCAGTGGACGATTATTAGGGGTATTTTTTTTTATATATAATAGGTAAATATGAAGTATTGCATATGATTTCATATTTACTATTTGAAGATAGCAGGTGGTGCTTTATGTTCCTTTTCACATGTTTGCTTGACTAACCAACTGCAGACAGTTTTTTTTTTCTAGATTTGGATAGACAAAGTAACAGTAACAGTTTCTGACAGGTTTTACATGTCTAGAACATTGTTTTTAAGTTTTTCCTTCACTTCCTCTGCCTGTGACACCTATACCTCCTATGGGCATTACCAGGACAGGAAGGAACATACAGTCAGAAAAACATTGTCGGAAGTAATAATGCTTCCTTACCTGTCCTAGCAGATAGAGAGGGGAAGTCTTCCTAACAGGGCCACAGACAGCTATAAAAATCTGACAGATTCTCTAACCGTTCACCTCCTCAATAAAATAAAAGGTTTTGGCTGGAGTTGGGCTTCAGCTCCTTTCCTGGAAAAAGTCAGATTACACACATAGCTGAATGATTCAGAGACTTGTGCCATGCCCTGCTCTCTGCGACTTCATAAGGAGTTTCCCTTAGTGAGAGACAGTCTGAAATTTAAAAAATACTGCTGTTGTGATGCACTACACAACATCACCATGTGCTGTGGTGTCAAAGGTAAACAGTGCAATGTATTGTAACCATGTGTAGCACCCCCCCCCCCTGACCCCCAAGGGCATGTGGTGAGTCCCAGAGGCATGGAGGGCTGACATTTCGATGTCAGGGGTGGATCCCTAGCCGGGTTGTGGGATATGAACAGTAAGCTGGTTGCCAGTCACTTTAAGTATTTTTTCAATGCTGTATTGTAGAACAGCCAAGACTGGGAGAGAAGGTATAAGGCGAAAGGCATCCATAGACAAAATATACTCCATATTCACCAATCCCTTCCTGCTTCCACAGTTCAGAAATACTTTAGTTGAGCAGAGGATGGCACTGTATTAGAGCCAAAGCTAAACAGAAGACCTACTTGAGATCTTCCCTGGGAGAGACAACAGACTTGTTCCTGAGGTCCATGCCATCTCGGCCTTTCTGGCACCTCCAGCAGACAAAAGGGTTCCTCTGGTTCTCCATCTCAGACAGTTCTAGACCCCACCTGTTTCCACATCTGGCCTCCTGCATACTTCAGACCTAGTTAGTTCCTCCATCTGTGTGCACCCTACCCCCAGGCTGGGGCCCTGGGGGTGGACTGACTAGCACGTGATAATTCCTGAGTATTTATGCACTTCCCCAGCATTCACCACTGGCCATGGAACTCCTAGTGATTGGCTGGTGAGACATAGACACCCCCAATGTTCTCACATTGGCTGCCTCACTCTGTGGCAGGGTCACATCCAAGTACAGGCAGGTCCAGACAATCGCAGAACACCTATGACCAATTGATCATAAACTACTAATCAACCAGACTGGTTACCGTTCCAGTGCCACTAAATTTAAAGAGCCACTCCGCTTAGGGTGAAAGGGCTACAAATGCAATACACCGCCCCTTTATAGCACACAAACCAGCAGAAGCACATTATACGGAGCATAAGGCGCACCTGATGGTGAGACCAGGTCCATAGATGTGACATTTACATTAGCTTGTAGTGCAATAAATTACACAGTAATACTTTTGACATTGGCAAATCCATTTTATTTCAATATAAACCAATACATCACAATGAGGAGCTTTTAGAGTGCAATCATTAGACTATGTTTTCTACCATTTCCATTTTTGTGCAAGGCAAATAATAAAAGTCTTTCGCATCATAAAATAGGTCTGTGCAAACACTGCCCATGACGTAAAATACCCTGCATACTATTACCCACAAGAACACAGAGAGCCAGCTGTGACAATGAAAATAGAAATCCAATAACGTTTGAGAATGGATCTTTATTTTATATATAAAGCCTTGTATTCATATGGTATCAAAAGATTGTATGATTCTACATTTGTATTACCTACTGCATATGTCTGTACTGTTTATTTTAAGGCTCATGACAATTATAAAGAACTAAATAAAAATGTAGTTAAACAGAGACTTATGTCTGGACTAAAGAATTTCCTCATTATTAACACATCTCACATTTTAAGAATAAATATATTAATCTATATACATCTATAGGATCTGGAATATTGGGGTATTCTATCCCCATGCTATCATTACACCGCTTTTTCCAGTTATTTGGTAAATGTAAGTTATTATTGAAGGTTCCTATCTGCAAGTCAGGCACAGAACTCTGAGTTTTGAGCAACCTTTTCTCACCAGGGTTCAGTGGAACCTTGGAGTTCCTCCAACGCTTGCTACGGTTTCCTTGAGCAACGAGGAATTTCTGCCTCTCAGATATGTAACTACTGACACCAATAATCATTTTAGTTATTCTTATGAGGAGCATTTTTCCCACTGACCGCCAATATAAGGAGCATTCTTCCCACTGACCACCAATTTAAGGAGCATTTTTACCACTGACCACCAATGTAAGAAGGATTCTTCCCACTGACCATCAATGTAAGGAGCATTCTTCCCAATGACCACCAATGCAAGGAGCATTCTTCCCAATGACCACCAATGTAAGGAACATTCTTCCTAATGACCACCATTGTAAGGGGCATTCTTCCCATTGACCACCAGTGTAAGCATTCTTAACACTGACCCCAATGCAACCTTTACCAACCAGGGTTCAGTGGAACCCTAGAGTTCCTCCAAAGGTTGCTACGGGTTCCTTGAGCAATGATAAATTTCTGCCTGTAAGATATGTTACCACTGACACTAATAATCATTTTAGTTATTCTTATGGGGAGCATTTTTCCCACTGACCACTAATGTAAGGAGCATTCTTGCTAATGACCACCAATATAAAGAGCATTCTTCCCACTGACCACCTGGTAAGGAGCATTCTTCTCACTGACCCCCAATGTAAGTAGCATTCTTCCTATTGACCACCAGTGTATGGATCATTATTAACACTGACCACCATTGTAAGGAGCATTCTTCCCAATAACCACCAATGTAAGGGCATTCTTCCCAATGACCCCCAATGTAAGGAGTATTCTTTGCTCTGACAACCAATGTATGGATCATTCTAACACTGACCACCATTGTAAAGAGCATTCTTCCCAATAACTCCCAACATTAAGAGTATTCTTCCTACTGACCACCACACTGACGTGATGTGCTGTGGATATAGTAAAAAATTTGAAGGGGTTGCCTGAAACCTAAAAGTTATTACAAGGATTCCGATTGTTTTACCTGCCAAAAGCTTTTTACTTCTGTCTACCTAGTTCTGAGATTTACACAGCCCCCTCATAAATGGCAGCTAGGTGGATGACATCACTTACAGTTAAGGAATACAGTGGTATCCTCTTTCCACTTTAAAACTTCTGACTAGAAAGTGAAAGAGCAGCAGGAGACAGTTGAAGTCATCCCTCTGCTGTCTCCTCCTATCAGAGTGTTCTTTGTTATTACATTTGCATTCAGTATACCCGATTTACTCCCAGTCCTTCCCCTCCGTCTCCCAGTGTTGCTGTACAAGGGATTGCAAGAGGGTTATACCATGTCAAATTCAAATACCTACACTAGTTGGATTTAAATATACTGTACAATTAATGATTTATTCATAAATACAGAGCTTCGTTAATATCTGTCCTTCATATCTGCCTGGATTTTCTAACTGATTGTGATACCAAAACCTTTCCATGTAGTAGAAAATGTGCATTCCAAGCAGATATTGCGTGAAAAATGAATGTGTGGGTAATCTATGGTATAAAGAGAAATCTGTAGAAAAGATCTTGAGGCAAAGCATCTGCAATGAATAGAAGTGAATGAAATGCCACCAAGTGCATTTGTACTTTTCCTTCCAGCGCAGACCAGCGCTGTGCGTTTAGTGGGTCTGGTTGCTGTGAACCAGCACTAAGTCTGATGCACCATTTGCAAATATTAGGGAGTATATATTACTGAGGAGGTTATCAATGGATAGGAAGTCTTAGTAACTGCTCTTCTTTGGTTTCTATGGCAAGTCTGACTGCTGAGAACTAAACAAGACAGGGGCTGGCAATGTCAGCCAAGTAATATTGCACATATATAATATCCTTATGCAGCATTTCTTTATGTAACCTATGATATACAAAATCTCTCTGCTGCACGTTAAGTAAATCTGTCCGTTTTGTGAACTGTTCATATTTAAGTTGGAAATGCATGATACTCTTCTGACTGCTTTGGAGTTGCCTTTCAGTTTAGTTGAGCACAATAAAATGACATCATCAACATCAACACACCTTTTTCTGGTGGAATTCCATCACAATTCCACAACAGCCATGACATATCCTACGTGACATAATTTATGCCTACCACTGTCAACTGGCCAATACTGAATTCTGCTATGGTATTGGCAGGTGACATGGGGGATACCACTGCCAACCAAGAATCTTCAGGCCATGGCATGCCATGGGTATATGGACTGGAATCTGTGAGGGAATCTTTCTCCACCAGGATCTCTGAAATATATGAGCAAAGTCCAAGCAAAACTAAATCAGTTGGGGCTAACTTGCTCTCTTTTTTTTTCTCATGCAGGGGTTTCCAATTTCAGGAATACAAATGGAGTCGTGGAGTAGCTCTCCCACACACAGTCAACCGTTTTAGACTGTTTTCATTAGAATGTACTTCTGTGACTACCTATTGCACTGAGCTATTCAGTTTCAGTGGTGAGCAGCTGATTGGCTGAAATCCAGATCTGGTGAACCGTGTGGTTAGTGGCGCACAAGTAAATAATTTTTTATTTCTCGGCATGGGAAATGTATTTTTTAAAACTAGGTAGCTTTTTAAATAACGAAATAATATTACAACAGAATTTCATTTTATAAATTAGAATCTAAGTAAGTCCTGCATTTTGGAAACATACACACACCTGTGCAGGCAAGGCATGTGGTAGACACAACGCAGTCACTAGATGTGTCGCCAGAGTAAACATGCTCATATACACATGGGAGTTCTCGGTCTTCAGTGTTAGGATAAATGGAGTGAACGGTAATGAAGAGTTACATGTGTACGATCTCTCTCAGCACTGGCTGAAACCACTTTTCTTTTTAATGAGCAAGCAGGCGTTGTGCTGGTGCTTGAGTGAGTGCAGTTTTCTCCTCTTTCTCTTATACTTTCTTATGAATGTAACGGTTATTAAAAGAACTGAAGTGAAGAAAAGACAAAAGCTGAAGAATATCAGTGGTTTTCTTTGCTGGACAAATGTACAGAAGTGACACGAGTTCTCTTCACTAATTGTTATGCACGGATTGTCCACTTGGTCCGCTGGAAAGCCATTTGCGGTAATGATTGAAGAGTATTTGTTCACAGAAGCCTTGGCTTTCATGCTGTAAATGGGAGAGTTGTAAAATCCATACTGGGGTTTTGTTTTGTCAGCTAGTTTAAAAGCGTAGTATCCTTTGAGGTTGATGTTATCTTGTAGGTAGGCTGGAAAAGATAAATCAGCGATAAGTGGCAAAGTACAACAAGTCATAAGTCATTTGGAATTTCTGGCACAACTCATTTTATTAACAACTGCAATAATGCAGTTCAAATGTTCTGAGACTGTGACTGCCCATACCGTTTGCCACTTGGAAGAGTGGGAGACACAATCCTTGAAATATCTGGCAATACACAGATGGAATTATGTGAATGGTTCTATGTTCTCTGTACAGCACTGGCTAAGCTGATTGGCTCCTGTCACTGTTCAGATTTTCCATCCAGCTCCTGTAATTTTCTAATCAAAGGATGCCGTACAGATGGGTGGCAACAGGGCCAACCGCTGTGCAAATTTCATCCGGTTCATTAAGAACCTTTCCAAATTCGTATTCCCATTTAAGATAAATGGTGTGGCCAATATTGTTAAGTCTGGAATGTTGGCACCTAATCCCAAATATGATCAACAATATCCAAGTCAAAAATGCCAAGGTGTGCCCACTCCTCAGATCATGCTACAATGATCATGTTTGTGTAATTGTCGGGCTAATAATAATAAAAAAATAATAAAAAATGTCTGTTGACCCCATGGATGTCACCATTTAGACCCTCGAATTTAAGCTATGGTCAATCTAGTCATAATAAACATGGTAAAACAGAGACAGTTTTTTATGAACATTAATATCTGAAAACTAACAACTTATAACCCCTTACATCTTATTACATTTTATTCTGTGATTTGTCCCTTTTTAAAAGGTACTAAAATTATGTTACAGTATATACAGGTGAAACTCAAAAAATTAGAATATCGTGCAAAAGTTCATTTATTTCACTAATGCAACTTAAAAGGTGAGTGGGTACTCTCATTTTTTTTTTGTTCAATTAATTTTTATTGGTATATAAAAATAAAAAAGCAAAGCATGTACATCCATTACAGGTGGTGGTTCTCGTAGTACAGACAATGAGTGATGTTAGCACATAGTGTTTAATACAGTAGCACAACAGATTCGCTATGTCCGTTTCAGCATCCATTTATTAACATTTGCGATCAATTGTTGACGTCCACCACCTGGTGGGTGAATGAGCCAGTCTAGCAGAGCATACTGGCTTTAACCAAGGTTTTGGAAAAGTTTTAGCAGGAAAGTATAAAAAGAGAGGCGGAAGATTATGGTAGGGAGGACTGTTGTACAGTCCTAGTGGAGGGGGACAGTCATAAAAAGGCGGGAAGGGGGAAAAGGAAGTAAGATGAGAGGGTTGGGGGAAGTGGGGGACAGTGGTGCCTGGGAGTGTTACTTGGCGTGGAACATGCACTATCGGAAGGTAGATTTCCAGGTCATGTGTCTAGCAAAGCTCTATCAAAGTTCGGTGGGAAGAAATTGTCAACCCACGGTTCCCATACCTTATTGAATTTGGAGAGGCTGTCGAGTAGTTTTGCAGTCAGCTTCTCGTTGATCATGGTCCAGTGGATCCTGTTTTTAACAGCTGAGATACTCAGGGTGTTTGAGAGCCAAGTGTGGACTATAACCTGTTTTGCTGCCGTGAGGACATGGGTGAGGAGTCGGAATTCGTATTTAGATATGTCAGGTGGCCTAACATTTGGCAAAGCTTCCCCCGGGGTCAGATGTATGCTTCTTTTGGTGAGGGTACCAAGTATCGTGTTTACCTGAGACCAGAGCCTTTGGGCGATTGGGCAGTTCCACCATATATGGAGATAGTCCCCCCTTGCTGAGCAACCACGGAAGCAATTTAGTGAGCTGCCCGGTGTAACATGGGCCAGATGACTGGGCACCATGTACCACCTGTACAGGACCTTATAATTGGTCTCTACTGCTGACGCATTGTGGGAGCAGGAGGACGTGGTGGCCCATATCTGTTCCCATGGTATTTCGTCTACCGCCATCCCCAGGTCAGTAGCCCAACTGTGCATGTATTTGTGGGTCTCCTAAGCCACCCACCCTACGGGGTTGGTACAGAATAGTCTTGGAGACCCTGGGGTCTGCAACCTTGCCAAATGTACCTGAGGAGTTGTCCCTGAAAGACGTTCAGATAATGTGGGGGTACCGCTACTGGGAGTATACGAAGAGGTAGAGCAGTTTTGGGAGGTAGGACATTTTGGTGGCCGCTACCCGGCCTAGCCAGGAGAGGGAGTAGGTAGACCAAATGGAAAGCAGAGTTTGGAGTTTATGGCTAAGGGGTGGATAGTTGGCGTTGAACAGGGTGCAATAATCATTAGTGAGGAAAACTCCAAGGTATTTAAGTTTCACTCTTTCCCACTGATATTGAAAGGACTCTTGGAGCGTCAGTAGGAGGTTTGGGGGAAGATTAATATTAAGGGCTTTTTATTTTAAGGGATTAACCTGCAAACCCGAAAGGGAGCCGAAGGATGTGAGGAGGGCTTGGAGATTGGGCAGAGTAACAAGTGGGTTAGTTATTATAAGAAGGACATCGTCCGCAAACATGCTTAATTTATAGTGGTGGCCTGCTACAGGTAGGCCTGTAAGGTCTGGGGAGGTTCTAATGAGGTGCGCTAGGGGTTTGATGGCCAGGGCGAATAAGACGGGAGAGTGGACATCCTTGGCGTGTGCCTCGCAGTATCTGGAAGGGTTTGGACCTAAATCCCGTGTACCTGACCGCAGCCGAAGGGGAAGTGTAAAGGGCAGCCACCCAAGACCTAAAGTGTGGACCAAAGCCCCAACGTTCTAAAAGGTGAAAGAGAATAAGGCCATGAGATGGAATCGAACGCCTTGCTAATATCAAGGGATAGGAGCATGGAGGGTATCTGCCGTTTCCTCGCCAGTTGGATGAGTAGTGCTATCTTGCGAATATTGTCGCTCGCCTGGCGAGTGGGCATAAAGCCCACTTGGTCTTTGTGTTTTTTTTTTTTTACTTATTTAACACTACAGAGAATGCACTCTTGTGTGTGAGGATCCATGTAAGGAAGCTAAGCCAGACATGCTGGCAAGGAGATCTTGCCATCGTATCCTCCAGAAGAAATTAAAACAATGGGGGGGATTCGGTTCTCTAGCATCCAGCCGATAATTTATCACCTTTTTTAAAGACCGATCTATTCAGGGTTTACAGGACATTTTACACCATATATGTATATTTTCATACACTTACCTTGTAGCAGCTGTTTGTTGTGTTGCTGTAAATAATACATTCTAAGTTCATCATTGTCTGAAGCTCTGTCATCTATTCCATTTGCTGTGACATAAATGGGCAAGTTCCCATAATTCTTTTTTAACCAGTTTAAAAGTTTTCTAATTCCATGCGGGACTACTGCTAGCCCACTGGATGAAGTGAGACTTGTTGCATCAGAAAGAAAATAAACATCCCGGTCAGCATCAAATCTGCTGTCGTTCTTTGGCTCATGGATCACCAGCCTGGTGGTGAAATGATTTATGGCTAAAAAATCAGCAGATCCTTTCAGCAATTTCTTTTCTTCTTCAGTGAAGTAGGGCAAGAAAGACCTTGATGTCCCCTTTTGATTCTTGGAACGGATGTATTGTCTCATGAGCAGCGGATAGTCACCAGAGCCAAAGATTGGCTCAGCAATCCAGGCAATATCAAACTGCAGAAAGCGCTCAGCTGCTGTAGCATGAGACTGAAGAAAAGGGTTGGCGGGCTCAGCCCAGTCAGTGTGTAGAGACAATGATATTTGACCCTGCTGCAGAGGCCTGTATTTCTCATCATACAAGCGCCATGCTGTGGCATGGGCTATGAGGACATTGTGCACAGCATGGTAAGTCCTATTACTACTGCCATGGTAATATTGGCTTAGCCGGTTTGGTTCATTGATTGTGATCCACTGCTTTACCAAGTCACCAAGTTCCTGGAAACATAGATTTGTATAATCGGCAAATGCTTCAACAATTTCCCTGTTTAACCAACCCCCATTTTCTAATAATGGCCCTGGAAGACTTAAAGAGCCATGAGTTGGGTAATAAAGCGTCAGCATGGTCTTGATTCCTAGCTTGGATGCCTCATCTATCATGCAGCGGTAATACCTAAGGACTTCTCTGTTAACTATGGACAGATCTCCTTTCGGCAGAATTAAAGACCAGTTAAGAGCAAATCTGTAATGGGTGACTTTCATGTTCGTCAGCAGGGCGAGGTGTTTTTTGATGGTAATAAAGTCAGTGCACTGAGGTGGACGAGTCTTTAGTTTCACTCCTTTTACTGCATGAAGGAAGCCATCGCCTGTAATGTTCCACACATACAATCTGCGATCTACAAACTGAGGTGAAGAGGGAGCCAGCTCTGCCTAGTGGGAAAAAGATAAATAGAATATATATCAATGGCATTATAGCACTGTATTCCTTGAAAAAGGCTTCTCAGGTAGTGTATATACTGATAATAACAAATGAAACTTGTTCTATAAACATGTACAATATATACTGTACAGAACATCTCTGGCAGACCGTGTCTTCTACCTCTCTTGGTAGTCAACACTTCTAGGAGTGTCAATTGCCTGTGTCTTCCATTGCAAGCTGCTGATTCCTGTAGTGAAGGAGTTTGAGGAAGGTACCACCGCACACATTTTAGCAATGCTAATGAGCTTCCCTCCATCCATAAATACCATATATACAAAGTCAAAAGATTTTTAAAACTTACTAGTTTTCTTCAATGCCGTGCATGTCACTGCAGCACAGTACAACATTGCTTCTTGAGAATATACTATCCGTTGCAAGAGTGTTTTCACCCAAGATTTTGACTGGTCTGTATTCCCCAGAATGCAGCAGGAAGTAGTGTGATACCACCCATGCCTAGGAACCCCTGGCAGAAAGTGGGGGTAAGGCAATTTACATGTAAGGATAGTGAGGTCATACCCAGCACTGCAGAAAATAGGAGTAAGGTAAGTATACCCAGCTATTATGCTGGGCTAGTGCTTTAAAAGAAAGGTAATGGTTCTCACTCAAGAACCTCTGACAAATTATTTTGCTGTCTGTATCTCAATTCTAATCCTTTCCCACACTGTTAAAAAAAAAGGATTTTATTGTTGTTTGTATCTGCTTTGGGGAGATTTCCCCTCAGTTCCTGCCCCAGTAATTACTGTTACTGAACACAGCCAAGGAAATTTCCCTTACAAAAAAGAGAGGAAATAAAAACCTGATAGCACAGGACAGGAGGAAACATTAAAAAAAAAACCTGATAGCAAATCTATCCCTTTCCCCACCCTATCCAAAAAAGAGAGCAAATGTCAACTGAAAGTAGTATCCCACTTTCTTGGTGGCCTCCATATGCAGTCTGTGTTGACATCAATGAAGAACACCAAGTTTCTGTTCATAACAGAAATGTTCACCATCCACCCAATATGACATTCTATAGTGCTGCTGCTGCTGACAAATTTGTTTGGCTTTATATCAGTGTAGGTTATTGAAGTGGATAATGTTGGTTGGAGATCTCATGAAACACACGTGTACAGAGTAGGAAAACATACCTTTAGTATGGAATCCGTTATTCCCCAGGAGTAGTCACATGGAAAATGGCCATCAATCGGTGAATCAAGAGCAGATGAAGGGATTCCATTTTGACTTATGACTTGTTTGTAATACAGTGCAGAGGATTTGGGGGTTAGTCTTTTGTCCTTGTTGTTGAAGTCTATATAAAATAATCCACGCCTAATTTTATAGCCTTCTTGCCATTCAAAAGTGTCCATTAGCGACCATGCGGTGTAACCAAAGATCTGTATGCCATCGTGTTTAATAGCTATTCACAAAAAAAGTAAAAGAGAAAGTATGTTAAGAAAAAGAATAATATATTCTGGAAATAATGTATGCTATGTTAAGCAAACATCTTGGATAACGCAGTTTTAGAATGATGTGACTATCAATGAGTTATGGCTCAAGTGCACGTGAACTTACTCTACACCAATCTTATATTCATGCCCAGCTATTTTCCTACCAGCTGTATAAAGCTTAGCTAGAGCAGCATGTTCGGTTAAGACAAGCTGCACAACTGTCAGTGTACATGGACACCTACAATGAGTGGCCAGATTATTATGACCGCCTGACGTTTGTAGGCAAATTAGCTATAATTTCGTGCTGAAGTTGCTAGAGGGCCAGACCATTATAAATAGGGAAGCAGGTTGTTTACCACGACAGTAGAAGTGATTTTTTTTCTGAAGATATGGGTAAACAACGCGATTTAACAGCCTTTGAACGTGGGATGATTGTTGGCGCTCGGAGCCATGGAGCGAGTATCAGCAAAACAGCAGAATTTGTTTTCAAGAGCAGCTGTTGTTAAAGTGTTTAAAGACTGGACTGTCAGCTGAACGTGCGAATTGCGAATACCTTTGATCTATTTTCACACAGGGGAACTAAAGACATTTAATTACCTTGAAAGACATCAACAATAAACTTCTTCATGATGTATAGCGTAGTAGTGTCTTCTGTTCTGATATTGCTGTTTGAGAACCAGCCATTTTCCATGATCAGGATCCTGGGGTTGTTATACTCTAGTTTAATCCAGTTCAATACTCCTCTCAGACAAAGGGAAATCCGAAGTGTCTTGCTGTCATTATTTGAGCGCTTAAAGTTATTTGGTCCAAAGGAGAAAGCAAAGAAGTCTGCTGTGCCTTGAATGTAAGCTTTCTCATTTTCAGAAAACTTGGGCAACACAGAGTTATACTTTGTCTTCAGGCTCTCGGGGTAATCACCATCACCGTGAATAGGTTTTGCAAAGCTTCCAAGTACAGCTTCCATTGACTCTTGACACATATCAATAGAAGAAGCATCAATATTTTTACTTTCTGGTTCCAACCAATGAGATCCCAGGGTCACTGACAGGTACCCCTTGTACTTTGGGCGGAAGTTGTCATTATAGGTATGCCAAACCATAGCATGAGCCTGCAATACAAAAACCGGATTTAAATGAGAAATGCACATGTAAACATCATCTAGTGTTCACATAATCCTATTTTTTACACAAAGCAGTCTATAATGTATAATTTGTTTCTATTTAAGATTGTTAGAGACCTGGAACATCCAGTGGCCAGGGTAAATATGCCAAACTGCAATTCCCTTCCCCATGTGCATATCCAATCGTCTTCTGCAGCTGTGATCCCACACCTAGCTGCCACCACACTTGTCTCAGCGTCACTGTGTAACTCTGGGTCCGTCAAAAGGGTAGCAGTGAGGAAGTATAAGAATGACGATGCTGGCACACTTACTAAGACATTAAGACTAGGGGTCTATTTACAAAGCAGCCGTAGGATCTAGCCGTAGCTTTGGCCGATCCTTCGGCTAGCTTCGGCCCCAGGACCCCTCTGGTTCAGTAGAATTCACATAGCTCTGATCAGTGTCCCTGGTTACCAGCTAACCAGGGACACTGATCTCCAGACAGCAAACTCTCCCGGGTGCTCCGGGAGTCTCCCGCTCCCGGCCGCCAAGGAGAGATACACTGCTTTTTCTTTATTTTTTTCTTTATTCTGACACAGAGCCGTGTCTGAATAGAAAAAATAAATAAATGTTTGCCCATAGGAATGCATTGCTAGATTCCTATTGGCTATTTCAATTTACAATAGCCAATAGTAAACTAGCATTGCACCTGCCCTCTGACACGTCTCCGTGTCAGAATAAAGAAAAAAAAAGAAAAAGCAATGTTTCTCTCCTGGGCGGCCGGGAGCGTGAGACTCCCAGTGCTCCCAAGTCAATAATGGGGACACAAGCCTGTAACAGGGACGGTCATATTTAAATCTCATGTCTGTGTTAGGAAGCTGCCAGGGTTTCTTACCCTTCCTTGTCCACTTGAGCTGCTGGTTCAGCTTCTGTGCAGTGTTTCTGTCACTGACTGTTGCTCCTATGTGCCCTCTTATGACCAAACCCGTAAACCTCATCATTCTGCAACGACTGGCAAACTCCTGGCAACTTCCAGTCTCACAGGGATGATGCGACTCCAGTTCCCTATATAATCATCAGCCTTTTCACTTGGTTTCCACCCTTGCATTTGTTTAGACCTACCAAGTCCTCTCTGCTTGTTCCTGTGCTCCATGTATGAACCTGGATCTTTTTACTGATCTCCTGCTTCTGACCTTTTGGCTCAGCTCTGACTACGTCTTGGATTTACCTATTGTTTTGCTATTTTGTTTATTGTCGCTTTCAATTAACTCCTTTATTTTTTAACCTGCACTTTTAATTTCTGTCTGGTTTCTTGGTTCCCTGACAGAAGCATAGAAGATACAACTAGCTCCAGATAAATTGACCCAGAGCAGATCAACTAAAAGGGAAGGCATAAACATCTCAGCCAGGATCTGCAGGAGCCTGTTAATGGGTAGGTCATAAATGGATGTCGTAGACCTCCATTAAGCCAAAGTCTGCTAATGGCCGTGTTGTTAACCTATCTTGAAGCAATACACATTTTTAAGTCTGACTTTACTTGACTGTATTTGTTGGTTTTCCTACAAAACAAAACAACTAAATCACACATAACTGCTCATATAAATGAGGCTGAATACTGAAGAGATTAGCACCGATGGATACATGATTACGTTCTTCATGAAGAAGGCAGCAATAGTATACAGCATGACAAATCCCGTGGGGCATTCATAATATACACTGTGACCAACTACATACTGATGACCCAATTAGTCTATGTAGTTAAAAGACATTCTAAGAAAAATCAAAACAGCTAACTTGGAAAAAAACAACATAGTGTTACCAAGATATGTACTGTAAAAAAGAGGCTATTTCTTTAGAAAAACTACCCAATTATATGTTCCGGGGAAAGGAAACAGATTACCTTCCACACTGTTAATTAAATACAACTTAGTACTGCTGAGCAGATATAATGGGTAAAGCAAACTTTAATTAAGAAGCTATTTTGAATTTTTATGTCATTATGCATTTTATAGAGCTCAGATCTATTTAAAGGGTCATTCCAACCCAAACTGTTTTATGTGGTGGGAGGTATACATGAATTTACACTTGTTTCTTAAAGTGACTCCTCTGTTCCTGAGTTTTTCCCTACTTGTTCCCTTTTTTCAGTAATTAATAGGTTAGCTGCAATGCTATGATTGATAGATATATATATATATATATATATAACATACACACTGTATATCTGTAAAGTATTTAAGCTAACCGTTTAATTACTGAAATAAGGAAACTCAATAAATGTTCTGTACAATTTGATCTCATTTAGCACCACTGGCTACTGTTTAATGGTTTGTCCTTATCAAAGCCAAATGTTTGCTTTATACCAAGCAAGCACACCAAATCAATACTAAGCGTTACGATCTCATCCTGTGAAATTCCTATTCCAGCTGACATTTTCCCCACTATAGATGGGTAAATGAGTTTGATGGTTAAGCTAAAACCACAAACAAATGCATCACTTGCTTGTCATGCATCATACAGAACTGACAAGGGTCCCAAGAATGCTGCTTTGAACCAAGGACTTTAAAAAGACTCTGGGGTTGATTTACTAAAAGCAACTCGGCTGTTCACTTTGCCACAGAATTTGCAATTTGCAGGGGAAGTTTCCCTTAGCTTGGTGAATGCGGCGAATTTCATTTTGCAAAGAAAATAAAAAAACAGTATTTTTGTTTGCACATGATTGGATGATGGAAGTCAACAGAGCCTCACCTCATTCACTAAACTAAGTTCCCCTGCAAAGTGCAAATTCACTCACAAAATGAATAGCCTATTTGTGTTTACTAAATCAACCTTAGATTGTAAGCTTCTTGAGGGTAGGGACTGATGAGAATGTGCAACTATGTAAAGCACTGCGTAAATTGTCGGTACTATATAAATGGCAGTAATAAATAAATCAACCCCTATGTTAATCTATGCCTATCCATGTGAAATCTAAACCTGAAAACAGCTAATTTGCCCAGATACAAAAAAAGCAGTATGGAAAATTTGTTTTGTTGTCTGTTACCGTATGTAGTGTGATTGTCGCTATTGTCCCCATTTGTCAATTTTGATTTGGGTGACAAAATATAAATTTTTTACATTTTAAAAATTCCGCCAAATCCTATAATTGTAGGCACCCTTTCAAAAGAGAATTCCGGCTAATAATCTAAGCTCCATGATCCACGGAATCTTGAGAATGTCTTCTTCTCAGTGCTATTGGGCAAAGCTCTCAGTCATGTTCCTATTACATATGGCTGGCAGGTAGAGCAATGGCTTCATAACCCATTCTTCACTGACAACCAGGCAAACACACAAAGGCAGAGAAATATTTTGACAGCTAACAGCTGTAAGCCTGGAAGGAGAACTGTCTTTAAAGCAACAATGCATGCCTGTTGGAACAGAACAAACAAAATGCTGGATCTTATCTCTCTGGTCTAGCACTGGGGGGACTGGATGCTTGTAGGATGGGTGTAGTGAGAACGCATTTTGTAAAAAGATCAACTTTTGAACCTAAACCATTGAACTCTTCATGGAGATCTGCTGCCCCATATTAATCTGCATCAAGGATGCTTAATTCCTACATTTAGATTTTTAATTATTTCTGGAAAAGGCATTACTTGTGATGGATTTGCTGCAGACTGCAACTTTCATGTCACCACTAATGAGAAGACTGATGTGTAATTTGGCTCTAATGCATAATGCCAGATTATCATAGAAACATTTATTGGAAACTCACAAGGATCTTCCTTCAGTTAAATGATAGTCACCTTGCATGGTGATATGGAATCCTTAGATGGTAGGCAGTCACTACTCAGTGGTCATAGGGTCATAGGGTCCACTAACTAACTGTAGTTGGGCTCCAGCACACCCCAAAAGTCCCATACATTCCTATGCAAATCTATAAAACTTGACAATAAAGCAGATCCACACCGAATCCTGCCATGCAATGAAAATGCACTTGCATGTAATTGCTCTCCAGACCTCCTGGGCAGTGGAGGCCCACAGGAGTTAACCAGTAGGATCACAGGCAATGGTTAGTCCTTGCTCTCACCTTAAAAGGTTAGGTTATTATTACTGTATGTAGTTTAAGAAGTTAATTTTAAATAACATTTTTACCGACTAAATATAAACTTCAAAGCAGTTCAGAGGGGTGCAATCATGGTGGAGACTCTGCAAGAGGACCCGAGAGACTATATTATTGTCCTTGTGTTTAGGAACCCATTCTTTTTCACTAAGCAGTGGAGCTATTTTTAAATAAGTTCACAGGGTACGTTGGAGTGAGAAATATAATAGGGCAGCAGGTGCACACTCAAGGTTCATTGATATGTGTTATTTTGTTGACAGTACTTAAACCTTCCCTTGCATGTCTGAGATGAGGACGAGGTATATAAAAGGTTTCCATACAGTATTTATGCCTAACAATTCCTAAACAAGGCTTACATACTCAATAAATGTAAGATTCACTTTTATTATCCAATCATGTGAAAAGCACATCCCAGTTTATTTTTTTCAACTGCACAGGATTGGGTACTCAAACTGAACACAGCTACAAGTTATTGAGTAAAGATTCTCAACTCCTTTAGTAAATCAGCCCCACTTTATCCTTGGGGGTTGTTTTTCTTAATTTTATGATGTTTGCACCCACAAATACTTTGTAGATCATCCGTTTTCAAATCTTCCTGTGACAGTCTCATTGTCACAGGTCGGCTAGAACTATGAGGTGAGTGAAAAGCACTCACCTCAGTTCTTCTTTAAGGTATCGTCTACTTTATGGAAATCGTATCTGACATAATTGGCCAATGTTTATAAGTTTCTGCGTATGTTTAGTTTTAGCTGCTACTCCTGCCTGCGGTAGGCTTGTTAGCAACAGTGTTTACATACATATATCACTATAGAGACTATTAATCTATCTTGAGAATCCACAGTCAATACTTAGCGACACATTGCAGACTTCTAAACACTCTCATGCATTTTCTAAAATGTCTTTTGGAAGC